GCTTCAAATCAGCATATATTCGACTAACGCTTTGCATATTGGCTAATGTTCTATTAGTATCCAAGTCTCCATCAACAGTTGGTATGCAAAATTCAATAAATATAAATGCTGAATAAACCAGTTATTCAAGCACAAAGTACTCATAACTACGGTACAATAGTTGTTCTAATACTAGTAAAGTGCTATCACACTTTAACTAGTATTAGAACACTATTGTATTTTACTGTTATTTGCTATATGATTTGACTAGTCGAATTTTAAGCATCTTCGGCACTTAAATAGATCAATCAAATGCACATAGCAAATAACATAGTTATTCAGCACTTTGTGCCAAATAACTATTAAATAATTTTTCCATTCTATTGAAAATCGGTTAAATACAAGTTTACTGTACATAGTAATAGATGTCAATATTATATTAAATAAAATTATATAAAACCAGACTTATTTTGTTGAAAAGAATCCAAATGTGAAATACTCAAACTTTTTCTTTACAAAAAATGTGCTCTATTACATACTTACCAGATTTACTCTCGTAGAAATATTTAAATATCTAAAGAATAAAATTTTATTTTCATGTCTTGTAAACCGTAAATAGTGTAGACTTATTGTTCTAATATTATAGAGATCTTCTTGTTTTAAAAATAGATGTGTTATCAAAATATGTCTTCTAGAACTGAATGCCAATGAAAAAGCATAGTTAATTCTATTTAAAATTAACTTTCCAGCAAATTTTTCAATGCCACTATTTGAATATACAAATTTTATTACATCTATTGATAGTCAGTATTTGAGCCTAGGAGTGTTACATTTTCTTGAAAAATTTGGTAAAAGTTTTTATCCTTTAACAGCTATTAAATATTCTCTTCTTTCATTGTTTTTGTGAAAAAATAAAATTAAAAATTATAGACATTACATAATAATATAAAATTTATATTAAATAACATATCAACAAATACTTTAAGTACAGTTTCAGTAATAAAATTTATATATATGATATTTAATTACCTTTCTTTGAGTAATCCTTGAAATGAATATGAACTAATTAAGTTTAAAAATCATGTTTAAATACTGTTTAAGGGTAAAGTGTATGTCGATCATTTTCATATGATTATTATTGTTCAAAAAAATGTTACATATAACAACAAAAAAACGCCACTAATAAAACTTTTTAAAGATATGGTCAAATTTTGTCAAAATTTTGTGGCTTATAGCTTAAAATCTTCTATTTATGGTAGTAAAATTATTAATTAATATAGTATAGTTAAATCATTTAAGAATAGTTAAACAAACACTGTGGGGGTGAGTCTAATTTTGCAGGGGTTACAATTAGATTCTATTGGTGTTCTAGAATTTCTAGAACCTGATCTTTCTATATAACAAACGATTGCAATTTACTCCGTTACAAATTTTTACTTTACCTCGTTACAATTTGTTTTACTATCGCTATAGCGTTTTTACTATAATAAATTTTTTAAATAAAATACATTATTTTTTCTGTACTTATGTTTTATTAATTTGATATTGTAGTTTTGACTAAAAATTCTTCGTATCAAGTATTGTGACTATCCGAAACTGTTGAAAATAATATTAGCACTTTAGAGATAGCTAGTTTATAGATTGCTGAGTCGACTATAGATATTATGTCTAGTTGGCACCAAAAATTAATTGAGCAAAAACCTTGGACCCGAATTGCTTTTCATGCGATAATAAAACATGGATTGTGAGAGAAATGGATACAGCTTTAGAGGTGCTTGACCTTCATTCAATTTTAACTCCTATCAATTTAAAAACTATTGAAACAAAATTTAATCCTTGTGCAGGATATTATCTACATTAGCAAAATAAAAATAGTGATATATGCTGGGTTCCTTTATTACCCGGGTATACTATATATACACTTTTTCAAAAAAAATATTTTCAATTTAAAATCGCTAAAGATAAAAATAATCAAATATATTTTGAATGGTATAATTTTGATTATGATTCGACATTTCAAAATTTACAAGAAAGTGGGTCAGACTACACGGCTTATAAAAGTTTAAAGCATAAATATAACTCTGGAAAAAAATCATTGCCGTGGATTATGGGATTTCTTAATCATGACAATGTTCTTTTTTTACAAAATATAGTAACACGTCATTATCCTCATATATTCGATCAATATAACAAAACTATAAAAGCATTTCAAAAAGAAACTAAATTAGAAAATACTGTAAAACGCGTGGCTCGCGAGCTTGATAATAAAATGGATGAAAATGAATTACAAATTACTAATAGAATTTTACTTGAACGCCAAGGCAAATATTTAACTCCACAAGAAACCCAGGCGTTAATAGTAAAGTATAATGAATTAGTTCAAAAAAATTATATCTTAAATCGAAAAATCCATCGGCTTCAACAAAAAATTACTGAACTAACTAATGATAATGAACAATTTGATACTGAAAAAAATTCTAGTAAGCTATTAGAAATAATAGAAGAAAATATTAATAAAGTTAAACTCGGATCAACTATTTTTGTAGACTCAAAAAAATATCTTTTATTAGTTTTTTCACAACCATGTATCAATTGCGGCAACAATCAAATTTCTAAACGTACACATATCGTTGATACTATTGGGTTTTCAGTAAAATGTCAAATTATTTGTCATTTATGTGGTGAAATAATGGAAAATGATAACGAACCAAAAAATATTCACTTTTCAAAAGCAGCTTCAGCAGCAGCTTTAGCGGGTGGCATTACATATCATTCCTTACAAAGTATTTTTTCATGTATTGGAATTACTAGTCAAAGTTGTAGAAAAAGTTATTACGTATACCAAACACCATTATTTTCTTATTTGGTAACAAATGCTAAAGAATCTACAACGTTTTGGTTAGAAAAAGCTTTCGAGTTTATGAAACAAAAAAATGCTAATTATTTACCTGTAAGTTTTGATTGTTCATGGTCACATGGGCATAATTCTCGGCAAGCTAGTGGAGAATTAATTTTTCAAGAACCTATACCTGGTATAATATATTATTTATAAATTCAGAAATTTATATACTAATTTAATAATATAAATAACAAGAATTTAAAAAATTAAAACTAGGCATTTTTCACAAACCTGTAATTGCTTTTCATACTGTTGAAAAAGCACGTAGTATAAAAGATCAAAATACAGGAAAAATTATTAATCTTCATGAAGGAAATTTTGAAAAAAGTTCACGGCAAATGGAACACTGTATACTTATCGCCGTTCTAAATGAAGTGGATCCTTATTTAGATAAATATGATTTTGTTTTAGAAATAGTTGTTGATGGAGACTTGGATACTAATAGAACATTAGCCAATATGCAAAGCGTTAGTCGAATATATGCTGATTTGAAGC